AGTTCAACCTGTCACAGGAGCTGCTCACAAAGTTCTACTCAGCCGTCACGGAGTCTGTCCTGTGCACTTCAATAATGGTCTGGTTTGGCTCAGCTACAAAATCAGATATCAGAAGACTACAGAGGTCGGTTCGGACTGCTGAGAGGATTATTGGTGCTCCCCTGCCCACCCTTTAAGAACTGTATATATCCAGATTGAGGAAAAGGGAAAATCAGAAAAGCACTCTGGACCCCTCACATCCAAGCCATCTCCTTTTTGAACTTTTACCGTCTGGCCAGCGCTACAGAGCACCGAACACCAGGACAGCTAGGCACAAGAAAAGTTTCTTTCCCCATGCAATCTACCTTATGAACAGTTAAATGTTCTCCCCTACTGTTCAATAAAAAAAAGTGCAATACCACTTTTATTTAATAGTACCCTACATCTTATTCCATTCCTTGTAAATTCTATTGCATCTATATATCTCTACTGTATCTCTACTGTACATACACATTTTGTCTATTTATGTTTATTTGCATACATATGTGTATTTTATTATTTCTTATTATCTGTGTGTTGTTGTTGTCTTGTGTACAGGAAGCTTCTGTCACCAGAACAAATTTCTTGTATGTGCAAACATACTTGGCAATAAAGCTCTTTCTGATTCTTTCTGATACATTTATATAATTAAACTATATAAATACTTTGCATATTAAATATATTTTAACCATATATTTAGTATATCAAATACATAACATATATGAAAATATCTCTTTACTTTTTAATCTAAATATTTGCATTTTGTTTTTTATGGTTTATTATTTTATTATTTAAAAAATGATTAAAATTATACATGTAATATGCAAATCACAATACGCAAATATTGCATAGCTCTATTTTCATCAGAGGAAGTGAAACAGGCACGTACAATCAACTGTAACATTCATCCCACACGACTATGGGCGAAGTACAAAAAGGAAGTACAAACTGAACGACAAATAAAAACCATTAGCATTGGGCAATAAGACAGTTTGGAAACAAAAATAAAAACTTACATTTAACTCAATGATCCAGAGCAGAGTGATGAAGAGGAGGTCAAATGTGACGAAGAGGCAGAATGTTCGGCGTACGTCTGAGAAGGCTTTCCTCTCTCCCGGGGGCAGCGGGGGGTAGTAAGGGGAGGGAAGGGAGAGAGACGCCTGGGAATATGAGGCGTTCAAAGAGGCAATGGCTGGAAGACTTCCTCCCAACTCGCTGTAGTCCACGCCGCTCGGCATAACTACATCCAGCTGGAGCACATCCCCTGAACCAGAGAAGAAAAGATGATCAAACAGTCTAACAAACATACATGCTTTATATGGCTCTTACGCAACAAGATACTGCAATTAAACTGAAAGCACAGTGATCAAAGCAACAGGCTGGAGAACAAGATCTAATCAAGCAGCCTTTGACCACTTTTAAAGCTGGTCTAAAATCATGGCTTAACAAAAGGCTTGCCCTATGTAGTGTATCTGATTGCATATTATACTGTATATGCACGAAATATTACATTTTGCATTCTGGTCCAGTAATCATAAACATATGTTTACACCTTGTGAATGTAAATAATTCGTTTTCTATTATGCACTGAAAACTGTTGATTTAAATAATCAATGTCACCATGGTTCCATTAACTAGGTTTTGTGATAATCTTGGGGGGGGGACGACGACAATTAAAGGTGAATCACTAAATGCCATCATTTTCCATCTAATTTGTGCTTATGAACTGACATGGCAACTCCAAAAACCATTTAAGAGCATTAAATCTAGCCTAATCGCTCTGTCATACTACATGAAGAAATTGCCATTATGACAGCAGGTAAGGTAATTAGTTTATTGTTTATCAGAGGCATTTTTTAGCACTAGGCTTTCAGGTTTGATAACACACTCTTCCCTGTTTGTCCACAGAATGATTGCGAAAATGAATAAAATCATGTGACATAAATAGACCAGATAATAAATACTGGGGAAGCAAAAGCATCATATAATAATTCTGCACAGTCAACATGATTGATGTTCCTCTACATGTGGCAAATAAGCTTTAAATATATATTTCACAGTAAAAATGGCCTCATTCCCTAATAAATAACCCTTCATAAACACATACTTGATATTCAGAACAGACCTAATTAATATTCATGAGTACATTACACTTATTTGTCTAGTTGGCACGTAAATCGGAGCATAAACAAGCTTGTAGTTCTAAACTTGAACACTTACTGACCTCTTCACCAAACCGGCGGTTAGTTGACAGTTGAGACAAGTTGTTTATAACTCATTTAAAAGCACCAAACAAAATCAGTCGAGAGAGTCGAAGCCGAAACTCATCAGAATCAGCGCATCATTCTCACTAGCAGCCTGCTGCACTTCCGCGATAACAACCGGATGTGAGAAACGTCACATCCGCCAGCTGATCGACGCTCAGAAGCGCTCGCGGCTAAAGTGTGAAACGCCGAAATGAAACAAAAAATGCATCACTTGGTGCAGTATGTATATATAATGAGAAATCTGAATAAATTAATATAAGGTCTTAAACCAGTGTGAATGACTAATATCAAATTACCATAGTTTTATTTTTCAGTTATAATAACACTGGTATTTTGGTTGACTGGTTGACGTGTGTAAAAATTGCAATGAACACATTAATAAAAAGCATATAAAATGGGAAATTTTATTGGGCAAGTACAAAAAGTGGATGACATTTGTGACCCTGGATCACAAAACCAGTCATAAGCGTCAATTTTTCGAAACTGAAATGGATACATCATCTAAATATCCCCCAGCGACTTAAGACTGCTTTTGTGGTCCAGGGTCACATTTGTACTTTTAGTCTCTCAGTTATGCATGATTTCTAGTAAACGGATGGCCTCATTCCCCACCACAACATCATGAGGTCTGTTTTTCTTATATATGTTAATGGTCTGATCTAGTTTTAGAATTTCCCACTGTCAGTAATACTACGGTGACTGCAGCGTCAGGGCATAAATCCTGGGTTTCATTTCCTCCATCAGCCACATGTTCCCATAACTCATCATAAAACACTATGATCACTATATTGTGTGAAGTAGGTCACAGCATCACGTCTCGTGTGTGCTGCCCCACCTATCTGTTAGTCACAATGCCAAACACAGGGATCTGATGCAAACGTTAGTTTTGGAAGTTAGGAAGTTTCCTTATCCTGGATCCTCCTAATGATATGATAGTCAAAGCAAAAGCTGTCAGCGAAGAATCTGAGAAATTAGATTTGTCACTTAAATATGGACCACCTCTTTTGGGAATCCAAGCCAGATCAGTTTTAGCCCAGATTTTGAAAGCATCAAAGGCAGAGGCGTTCAAGATATGGGATAGAGAACCACTGTGCCGCCATCTGTTTGCAACAGAAACTGGATGTTTTTGCCAAAACTGCCCACACATGCTCGTCGTTGGTGGTATTAAATTGACAATATGCCTTGTTGATGAACATTTTTATTGTTCAGAGTATAAAAATCATACTTTCTTTCCAAATGTAAAATTATAGAACTTCATACCGAGGTCAAACATGTCCAATTTAGTCCAAATGGCAGCAAGACTATGAAATAAATTAGAGTTAGCCCGTTATTATGATCCCAAAATATGAAAAAGAAGATATTCTTTAACACTTTCATTCAGTGCAAATATATTTATTGATACAGAGACTTTAACCTCAAACATTTCCATAGTCCTATGGATATATTTACTAATTTGGTACATTTTCTCAGATTTTCTATAATACGTTAATCAAAATCAACAACGTGTACCTGCATGAGCTTCAGAGGATATGCATACAAATATGATTATATTCAATATAAAGCAGTACAATTTCTTAAAAAAGCAACACGTGGCTGTTGGTTTTTCATTTTAAATCATTATCATTTTTAAAAATAGTTCAACATTTTAAGGAAGAAACTTAAAAACTAAGATAAGTAATGTTATCCAGCTAATAATAATGCAAGTTGTTTACTACAGTAATTGACTGAAATGATTTACATATGTTTCTGATATTCCTGATGTTCATGAGCACTGAACTTTCACCCCGAGGCACTGAATTTGGATTTTTGTAGTTATCTGTAACCAAATACAGTCATATCAAGAGATGCGAATTCTATTCTGTATGCAAATATGATGTTTATAGCAGCTTCGATCACAATGTCATTGACAAACCACAAATGAATCACAAAGACAACATTGTAGGAATATGTTATTCACAGTCAGCCGCGATTAGTTTGTTCCATGAGGGGAAAGTCTCCCAAAACAGTGAGATCAATCAGACTAGTATTCGTGATCTTTACATGGTCCACTCCGTGTAAAAGCAAAACAGCCTTTATTGGGATACTTTTTCAGAAATACTTTTCAACTCTATGTGTGAAACCTCTTTAATGACAGAAAAATTACTGAGTGCACCGATATGATTTCGCCACATCTACCAATGGTGGTGAATTTAGAAATTATTTTACATAATTTTAGAAATTAGTAATAATTTCTTTTTATATATTTTTTAAATATATAACATTTTATGTTTTTATAAATATAATTATATTTATAAATATGCAAATATTAAATGTTACATTTGTATAAATATATTTATATTTATAAATATGCAAATATAATTACAAACATTATTTTTTTTCTGCTAAATTAACTTTAGTTTGAAGTGCAGTCCAACTACGAGGATGTTGGCAGTGGTTTAACATAACGCTAAACAATAATGCTGTGAAATACTTTCCATGTGCTCTGGGATTATTGTTCTTGGCAAATTATTTCATGGAATTCAGTATAACAATTCTCTGTACTCCAGATGGCAGTGTAGGCCCACAGAAATGCACCGATCACAAAACATACTGCGACTCAAAACACACACATAAAACATGACATGAACACTTGACACATTTCTCAACACTTCACATTCGTACCGCACTGCTCATAGAACTAAACATTTGTACTTTACCTGTTTGTTTGAATGTATGAAACGCAAGGATGGTATTATATGACTGCTGATGGATTTTACCTTATATATTTCTATTTCATGGCAATGTCGGGGTGAGTTATTTGTTTGACCACTTCAAAATTCCAGTCTTTCAGAGTCTCTTTTTGTCTCTGAATACAAACAGACAGCCGCTTTTATCAAATGATGGAATTATTGACCAGTAATCAATAAACAAGATTTCCAAACAAGGTTCTGCATTATGAAAAAATCTCTAAAGTTTCTCAAACTTTCGGTCTTTCAGTCCACATTTCTGCACTCATCTTCTGCCATATCGTCCGCTTCTACTTCCTCCTCCTCCTCCTCCTCCTCTTCATCAGTCGGCGCCGTGGCTCCTGCCTTTCTCATACCAGGCTGGTGTTCTGCCATGCCCCTTTGCTCCTGTGAATCTTTAAAATTAGTATTTATTAAATAAAATAAAATAAAAAATGGAATCAACAGATAATCTCATCTTTGATTGGCTAATGTTTTGGGTTGAATGCTACATGCAAATATGATAATATTTGTTGACCTGGACATTAGCATTGGTATGAGAGAGCAGCACAACATAAGAAAACAATGATGTTTTAAAGACACAAAGACCAAATATACTTTATCAGTGTTTAAATATAAGACTAAGACAGAACTTTTTATAAAAAGTGTAAATTTGCACTGAAATTTAGTGGGGGAAAATGGAGATGCACAGTGAAAGACTCTACTCTGGACCCAAGATCACATTTGTGGAATGTTAAAAAAGAAGTAACTCTTCAGTTTTTCCCCACTTAAAACAAGTCTTAAAAACCCAATGACCCAAACTCCACCTCCAACTGCATGAAAACGGTGTCTAAATGTGTGCCTACAATATATTTGTCTCAGGAAACTGTTATCTGCGTTGTTATCACTTAATATTAATATAATTAACAGAATACTGAACAGTTCACATTATTCGGTACTGTAGTTTTATCGCTGTTTAATGCATAATTCAATAGAAATGTATTTATTATATATGCATAATGCAAAAGAAATGTTAAAATAAACATTAAAAAACATAACTTTTGACTTTTCTTTACGTTTGCCCCTTTAAAAATAATAGTAGTAGTAGAAAAAGGTATATAGTATTATTAATCTGACATAATAGAAAGCGTCTTCTCTTACTATTGTTTTTGTAAGGCTGATGTGAATGTTCAGCAGTAATCTTTTCAAATTAAATTATAAAAAAGTAAATACTGACAGCATTAATAAATAAATAACAAAAATGGTATAAAATATTATAAAATAAATAATTAGATATTAATAATATAAAACATTATAAATTAAAACATTAATCACTGATGTCACTGTTCTGTGAGAATGGCCTATATTTCTTGATGATGATGACATGCATATGTAGAGGGTTTCTCTGTGATGTGATATTAAGATTACCAGGTATGCAGGATGAGGAAAGCTCCTCCCCCCCTTCCTCCTCTACATGACGATACACACCTAATTTCTGCATGTGAGCTTCAGCCATCTGCTGCACGGCTATAAACACACACACACACACACACACACACGCACACAGGGGGATTCACAAATCAGGGATCACCAAACCACAAGGATAGATATTAATAATATAAAACATTATAAATTAAAACATTAATCACTGATGTCACTGTTCTGTGAGAATGGCCTATATTTCTTGATGATGATGACATGCATATGTAGAGGGTTTCTCTGGTGAGTGATATTAAGATTACCAGGTATGCAGGATGAGGAAAGCTCCTCCCCCCCTTCCTCCTCTACATGACGATACACACCTAATTTCTGCATGTGAGCTTCAGCCATCTGCTGCACGGCTATAAACACACACACACACACACACGCACACAGGGGGATTCACAAATCAGGGATCACCAAACCACAAGGAGAAAACACAGGAACATACTCAAACACACACAGGTAAAGAGGGATGGATGGGTCTGTTTACTTTTTAACAGGACTTCTGCACCGTGCCAACCAGAAAAGGTTTTATTTATGCTGCAATGACAGGACATATATGGACAGGGATAAACCAACTGTCTTTTTGATGATTCACAAAACAGACAAAACACACATTCAGAGACAATATCACTGTAATGCATAGCTATTTTCCCTTCTTTTAATTTCACACATTACTAATAAAACAAATTCATGTCATCATTGTCCGATTTTTTTGTTTTTGACAAAAAAAAGGTAATTTTGACTCTCTCAATTCAGACTTTTTTCCTCACAATTTTGAGTCGGTGTCTTACAATTAAAAAAACTCAGAATTGTGAGATATAAACTAAATATAAATTCTGACTCTCTTGCCATTCTGAGTGTATATCTCACAATTCTGACTTTTTTCCTCAGAATTCTGAGTTTACATATTACAATTCAGTTTTTTTTTTGCCATGAAATGAAAAATGCAAATTTAATTGTACATTAAAATGTAACTGCTATTTTTTTTTTTTTAAATCTCACAATTCTGATTTTCTTCACGAAATTGTGAGTTTATATCTCACAACTGAGATTTTTCTCTCTCAGAATTGCGAGATAATATGAGATAAAAACAAGTGTGGCAGAAACAAGCTTCCTTAGTTTCTCATAGAACGTGCTAAGAGAAATACATAGATCAATTGAGACAATTAAGCAACACTAGAAAAGCAGTAGTGCTGTCAAACTCAATATAACTTTGATTTCAAATGGATTTTTCTATCAACAATAAGTTAATATTGTGTAACTTACAATTAAGACAAAATACAGCCAGTTATTTTATTTTTGCTTCGTCAATGAAAATAGATCTAAATGAAGCAGAAGACAAAAACAACAGCATCATTATGTTGACATAATCTAAGATTGTCCTCAGTGGGTCACAATCTGTCTAGTGCACTAGTCTGATGGCGAATGTTTCTGATGGATGTCTGTCCTCTAAAACTGTGTGTGTTTGCAGCTGTATGCTATCTGCTGTAATCCAGGATGATCCAGAGCAGCACAGACTCACACCCATCACAGCTGTCTCCATCTCTAATCTTACTCACACACGCATGGTAAAATAGGAAAAACAGACTTGCAGCTTGGGACAGTTTTTAAACCCAGGGCCAGCACAGTGCAGGAAAGTCTTCAGAAACAATATATACCAAAGGAGTATACACACTCTAAAAAATGCTAGGTTAAATACAACCCAGTACTGGGTGAAATATGGACAAACCCAGCAACCCTATTTTACCCAGCACTGGGTTGTATTTAACCCAGCATTTTTTAGCGTGAATACAACAGGCACAGATCACATATCACAGGCAAAACTACAGGCCTTTACCTTTTAATGATGGTGGCTGGTAGATATTCGGGTTGATTCGTTTTGGCTTGAGGACACCATTTTCTCCTACAACCCACTGAAAAAAAATATATATATATATATATATATATATATAATGACTATATATAATACTTAAACAATTAATTAATATTAGTTGTAATAATTAAATTATTAATACAATGGTTGTCATTTTCGTTAGCTTTTTAATATGTCTATATAATTTTTATTTCAGTTTTTGGTTAGTTTCATTTGAGTCATTTTAGTAATTCAAACTAAATGAAAATGAGAATGTTGCCTTGGCTTCTATACATTTTGTTATTTTATTTATTGATTGATTTATTTTATTTAATGTTTATTTTATTTCACGTAATTAAAATGTTTTTATAGTTTTATAAAACTATAGTTTTTTATAAAAACAATAATAACCCTGATAGGAACATTAAAATTTTTCTGGTAAATATTGTAAATGGATAAACAACAGCAAGAACAAATTTTGAAATCATTATGAAAAATGCTTTTCTCTCTTATATTAATGCAATGTTTTTACTATGGTATTATTTATCATGTACCATAGCGATACAACAGTATATGTATATAATCTATAATATCAGTACTGTATAATCACTTGGCCACAGTATGTTTATTGTAAGGGATTTCAATGAGGGAAGTTATTGCCATAAATATATGCAACGTAAATTCAGCATTGCTCATGCCATTTAACCTCCAGAACTGAGGTGGCACTGTGGTACCTGATGGGTGGAGATGTCATCCTCAGGAGATGTTTGGTCTGCTACTTTGAACAAAGTGGCGGGTGTGGGTCTTCGTCGTCGAATCTGAAAAATAAGCAGTAGAGAAATGTTACCGCAAAATAGAAAATTAAAGAAAATCATCACATTTTGCATAAGTATGAGTGAGGAGCCAGGACACTTTTATTCATGGCGATTAGCAGTAAAATGATTACAGGGTCAGTCCTCCTGCAACATAATAATTCATTTCACAACACCTTTGCATATTAACGTGTGATATAGGCTTATAATTTATATTCTTATGTTATTACATTTAAATGAATCATTCTGTATTCATTTATTTTATACATTTTACATTTGTATTTATTTGTAATTCATTTTTATCACAGTTTATCACAAACCCCCTGCAATATCCCTATTTGGGAAACCTTGTTTTAGATGTTGACTTTAATGAGGACATTCTGAATATATGTCATTGCACATGTGACATCTTGGCCAAAAAAAATGTGAATTGGAGAACTATATCTGCTGCCCCCCTCTACTCAAACCCTTTCGATTTCCTCTACCCAACAGTCCCGGAACAGAGAACATTCATACAAATCTGCCAGATACCAAATGCGCAAGGACACAAATGGAAAAAGTGACTCTAGAGTACAACGAAGCTCAAAAGTACACAGAGAACCGACTAACTAATGATCTCAAGAAAACAGCTCTTCCTCAACTAATCTCCTAGTCATTTAGTAATTCTGCCAGGTAAACAACCCCACATCATGGCAAAATCCTGACTGAAACCACTCAATTCTTAACTTAAAGTTTACCAAAAGAGAATAGGAGAATTGTTTATGTGACCGTCACAATGAGGTCCAGGACAAATTTTCCTTCAGGGACAATAAAGTGTCTTTCAATTTCAATTAAACTTTGATATGGTTTTCATTTTTAATAACTACAAATAAATGAAATTTCACCAATTGTGTCATTTTAACAGTCAAAGATAACCAGAGTCAGTAAGTTTGATCCCAAACTAAACCCAAGTGAAGAGCACTGATCGAAAGAGAAAATCTCCCCCCCGATTAGATTTCAGAGGAACCTTCAAAAAAGCACAGAAGCCTTAAAGGATTACACAAAGCTTTCTTAAATGCTGGGTACACACCACAAGACAATCGGGCTGATTTTGGGCCGATTTCTCCCCTTCCGACAATCCTAGGTAATGTCCCGATTATCTTGATGGTTCTAAAGATTATCTTATCAGATTTTCCTGTGGTGTGAGGTGTGTTAAGAGTGACTGAATCTGCTCGGAAGAACGTTGGAGGCGCCCCGATCGCGAATCGTAAATATTTAACAAACATGTTGAATATTTACGATCAGAAATCCTAATGTGTGGGGGGCGGAACCCCGAAAACACCACACACTATAGGAGCAAAACGGTTAAATCTAGGATTTTTTGTCCTCATGTTTGTGGTCTCTCACATTTTGAAGATCTTATAAGATTTAAAAAATCTTTTAATGTGTACCCAGCATAACACAGCGGCTCCCAACTCTAGCCCTCAAGGTCCATATTCCTGCAGAGTTTAGCTCCAACCCCAATCAATCACACCTGAGCAAGCTAATCAAGGCCTGCAGGATTACTAGAAAGTTACAGGGTAAGTCTGATCATGGTTAGAGCTAAACTCTTAGGGGGAATTTACATAAGTTTTCAACTAAAAACTGAAAACATTTGATGCATTTTTGCCATTCATTTACACAACAATTTAGTTTTGGGGGCCTAAAAACGCAAACTTTTGAAAAAGTGCAATTTATTATTATTATTTTTTAAATGATACCATTATCATCTCTGTATAAACTACAAAAACGCAAATTTGTGAAAACGGTGATGTCATGCGCATGCATATTACATGTTCAGTCTATAGCAGGGGTGGCGAAAGTCGGAGAGCCGCAGCCCTGCAGAGTTTTGCTTCAACCCTAATCAAACACACCTGAACAAGCTAATCAAGGTCTGAACAGTTACTAGGAAGCTACAGGCAGGTGAGTTTTAATTAGGGTTGGAGCTGAACTCTGCAGGGCTGCGGTTCTCCAGGACCGGAGTTCGCCACCCCTGGTCTATAGGCTTGTGTGTCTGTATGTGCGCAGGTGTGTAGTGTTTCTTTACAAAGTGACATCGCCAACTACTGGCCTGGCATGCATAATGCAGCGTTTTTAGTCATTTTTGCAGAAACATGTCTGTACACGAAACTTTTCAAAAACGCAAAGGAAAAACTTTTGGTACATTGGTGTCATGTAAACATACCTTGAGATAAGTGCAAACTTTCACACTAAATAATAAAATATATTAATTGGTTATTTTCAACATGTTAGGCTCTATCAAGAATATAGAGATCAAAACAAGTTCTTGACATTAACACTCTTAACCACAGAAGAACCATTTTGGGTTCCCCAATGAACCTTTCAGTGAAGAGTTCTTAAAAGAACCATTTTTCTTAGCGTAAAGAACATTTTAATAATCTAAAGAATCTTTTTACACTATAAAGAACCTTTCGCAGAATGGAAAGATTCCATGGATGTGAAAAGTTCCTCATGGCACCATCAATACCGATAACCTTTGTTTTCAAGATTATTTATTACAGAGAAGAACTAAATAAAAAGATTCTTCAGCAGAATCTGGCCATTTTGTGCTTTATGCATGTTAATGAACTTACATAATGAAAAACACTGAAAAAGAGTGAACTTCTTAGTGTTTCCATCAAGCTCTCCAAATAAAGGACAAGAAATAATTGCCGCCCTTTTAAATGTCCCACAAGGCCACCCAGATGTTCTTCAGCAGCACTGGAGCGGAGTTCACAGTGCTCTGGAGAAAACAAAGTGTTCCGTGGCAAATCCTCCTCCACAATGTGAAGATTCACAAAATTAACATTTGTTCAGTGACGGTGCGGCACTGTAGGGGTGAATCAGAAACACTGTCAAATGTCTTTTATGTTGTTTGCTACAACTAACTTTGATGGGGTTCAGAGCACATTTTTGGAGCCAATCATTCAGAAATCCAGATAATTTCTTTTCAGAACTCTATGCAGTCTAAATTGCATATACATAATTGCCAACTGACATAAAACATTGTCTCCCACCTCACACTGGAAAATGGGTTGTGGAATTCGCAAACTTTTCCATCTCCAGGCTTTTTCACTCTTGAATGTACATTAGCATTTCACCTAATTGGCTGTGTCAGTATTATGCTCTCAAAACAAAACTGGCATGCATGTGTTCCTGTACTATTCAATAATTCCTGCAGTCTCAGATAACACAGTCTGTCTGTTTACTGACCATCTGATGCATACTACACACTCTAACCAGGCCGGCTGACTTTACACAAATTCTAAGAGTATCAGTTTGCCTAGAGACAAGGTCATATTTGATAAAATATGACCTTGATAAAACCAGCACTTTGGCTTTTCTGGTTTTGCCAAAGTTTTATGTGAGGCAAAGCAAGTAAACTACATATTCATGGTTTTGTTCTCTATAATGATCTGTAATGATCAACAGTTTAATGTGTCCTTAGAAAAATACAACTACTACTACTAGCAGAATAAGGTCATGAAGTCAATCAACATTTAATGTCACTGGCTGAAAGGGCAAAGTGATTCATGTTATTATTAGTTCATTTCCGAGTATCTCTATTGCTCAAAACATGAAAAACATCGAAGTGTGTTTGTGAATGGGTGTTTGATTTACATTTGAGAGACACTGAAGAGATGGTTAACAGCCTGCAAACCATATTTTTAATTCAAAGGTCATTTGTGTGATTCATGCAGATCCGATGACTTTTGGAAAACTCTTGCAACATCATACTTCAGTATAAAACAGTGCTGAACTTTGGCAAAAAGGGAATTTGAAATAGTGATTTCATAAATGTCGAAATATAAATCCCAAAGCAAAGCATGTTAAAAGAATTGTCATTTTTCATTTTAAAAGTGTTTGTTTTCCTGCAGGTGGCACAAATCTTCCACTTAAGCATGGCACATTTTCCATGAATTACAGTCAAACCAAAATGTATTCAGACACCTTCAACATTTCACACATTATCACAGTTTATTCGCTATAGTTTAGAAAATGGTAATAAAATATGACAAGAACTCAAGAGTTAAACTGTGTCAGAACAAATTCATCTTGATAAAAACATGGTCAGGTCAAAGTGTCTGAATAAGTTTTGGTCCCAATTTGTTTTCTATTTTACTGGTAGTCCACTGTATGAAGAATTTTTGGGTATAATATGTCACAGTTTACTTTATTTTGCTATCCTCACTTACATAAAATGAACTACAGTGTCCTGCACGCACTAGTAAAAAAAAAAAAAATCTAAAATTATATCTGGTGTCTGAATAATTTTTGGTTTGACTGTATCTCCATGAATTACAAAAATAAATAAATACATAATAATACATATCTTCTTAAATTTAACATATAATATTCCCATTTTATATAAAATATACAAAAACAAGAATCATTTTGAGGCAAATAAATAATAAAAAATACACTTCAGATCCCTCCAAAACTGCTTAACTAAAAAGTGAGCAATATTACATGTGTTGTTTGAAAAAAATTATTTAAAAAGAAATGTGTTCTACTTTCTAGGGTCGAACAGCCATCAGGGGGTTAAAGGGGGTGTTATACAACACACTTTTGGCCTAATCTTCTGTTAATGCAGACGACGAGACGAGCATGTTATGTCTTGCAGCATGCAGACTAACATGAACACCCTAGCAACCACATAACACATTAAACCCACTTAGAACACCCTACCAATCATTCAGCAACATACTAAAAACCATTCAGAACATCTTAGCAATTGCATAACAATGCCTTGGCAACCATCCACAACACCCTCGCATCATGGCAGCAAGTTTTGCACAGGCAAACACCACTCACATTTACTTCAGAAAATACAAACATCCAGTTCATACGCTTCTTTAAACACTTGATGGTTTGTCTGGTAAACCAATCAGCTGTTTGTGGTCGTTTGGCTATTTAATCTTGAAAAACTATAAAGTTCCCCATGCTCTGACTCAAGTTTTGCCTCATATTATGCACACAACTCTATA